GTCTACTGCATATGAGGACTTTGAGAGAGAGAGAAGAATTCAAAAACCAAATCAAACCAAACCAAACCCCCACCACCCCTGCCCCCCACCAAAAAAAGCCCAGATTCCTGCTATTGCAACTCAATCCTGGAAAGTATCTGAAAATCATACAGTGAAGTAAAACTGCAGAATGGCCTGCAGGAGGTGACAGCTGAATTGGGAGGGAGTTTTGTGCCTGGAAAACGTGTACAAGATCACTTACCAAGGAAACTGCTCACAACTCCGACACTAAAAACAAATGGGGTTCTGACATACCAAAAGGAAATAAAGGAAGAGCTGTCAAGGTGAGGTGGAGTTTCTTCGGGAGGGCCTCCTGGAGACATGAGGGGCCTGGCTTAGTAGAGAGTGGGCATGAACGTTTGTCCCCAGGAAGCTCGGCCAGGGGGACAAGTTGATTTATTTACTATTTAATGAAAAAAAGGCGGGGTGGGGGCGGGGGGCTTCCAAGACAGAATGGCATTTCCTGGCGGTCACCGTGCAGTCGTGAGAGAGCTGATAGAAGGCAGCATCGTGCAGCCCACGGGGAAAAGGTGGCGGTGTTACCTGCAATGCGCTTCATCCAGGAGGCCTCGTCGATGCCCAGGTTACTGTTGAGGATTTTCAGAATGTTGCCCAGGATGACGCTCAGGTGCTCAGAGGTGACCTGGGTGCAGCAGGGCCCTGTGCTGGGGGGCAGGTTCTCTGTGCCCCGCTCCCACCAGTAGGATAGGTAGTTGCAGAGCATGGGCAAGATCACCTCGATGACGTGGGGCATCTCGGTGTACCGGGCCCCCGACTCGGCCAGGTCGTTGATTTCCTTCATCAGACCTTCCAGTTGGGGGATGTCGGGACACATGTCCTCCGCAATCTCTGGCATCCCCAGAACTGACCAAGAAGAGCACAGGAGGAATAGAGCGACAGTAATTCAAGTGCACGGTGGTGGTTCAACCTCTACCTCTGCCTTCCCCTGCCTTGGGTCCTGAGATAAACAGATAAACAGTCTGTACCAGGGCTTCATTAGTGGCCCCTGAATGGGAGGGAGCTTGACCTCCAACTGCCTGTGGAAAGATTGCAGCTTCCAGAGGCTGCACATCTTCCTAGATGCCATACCTATTGCCACCGGGTCTTGGTGACCCCGTGTGGTACAGCAGAACACTTCCATAGGGTCTCCTTGGCAGCAATCTTTACCCAAACAGATCCCCAGCCTTCTTCCATGACATTGCTGGGGAGCGATGGGTCCAACTGGCAACCTCTCGGGTCAGAGTCCAGTGAAAACTGCCCGTGCGGCCCCTTCATCTTCCTAGATGTCTTATTGAGTTTAAAACAATCCAACACCCTTAAAGGAACATAACACTGACACGGCTGAGGCACATTTCATAAGCTTTTCCTTTAATAACCCTAGACTTTAACGGATGACTGTGGGAGCCCCAGATACATTTGTGGGCTCTAAAAGGAGATAAACCTCTGGTGATTTTCCTCCATCCACAATGGAGGGGAGGGAGGAAACTGGTTACCAAACAGAGTGCACTGGAGAGATGACGTTAGATCACAAGGGTAAACCTGACTTGGACAATTAAAACCTAGTCAGCCGAGTCGATTGCCCCCCATCTGATGCACATTGGGCCCGGTTTTGTGTATTTTGTCTTTGGGGGTAACCCTCTTGAATTTTGTTATGGGTTTTTCTGGTTTTAGGTAAATGGAACCCAGGATTGATGAACCTATACAGACAGCAAGTAGAACAGGATTTCTGGGGGTGGGGTACAGAGGGGAGGAGGGTGGTAAAGGGGAGCTGATATGAGGGAGTTCAAGAGGGAAGAGAGTGCTTTGAAACTGATTGTGGTAGCAATTGTACAATACTGCTTGATATGATTGAACTATGGAATGATCTGTATTAGTTCTCAATAAAAATGGTTTTGGAAAAAAATGTACGTTTATATATATTTATACTTAAAAAAAAAAAAAAAAAAAAGGAAACCACCTAGACTTTAGCTTCCGTTCAAGAAAAGTTAGTATTGGTGGAAAACAGGCATGTTATAATTAGGTTATTGTGCCAACCTGACCAATAGGAACATGTGGGATTAATCAGGTCTCAGTTTGATTGGAGGGCAAAGAGATAAATGGCTCGGCAAGGCCTGTTCCCCTCTTGTTCTCTGGTGATCGAACCAGTGTGCTGCTGCTTTAGCTAGTTCTCTGCCTCAACCTGTGAGCTATACTACCTGTGTGCTAAGCCAACCTGGGGATTGTACTGCTAGAGCATGAGGCTCCTTCAAGACCTGCTTTGCCTCACTGCTGGTACTGGTACATATGCTTGAGCTTTAGGCTGGCAGATCCTGTCCTTGCATTGCTTAAGTTCCATATCCCATCCGGGCTGTTAGATAAGCTCCTGAGCTACTGACTGTTGCTGACCCACCTTGCTGTTTGTGCCTGTGGGCAGACTCTGCCTTCTTGCTTGAGGAAAGACTCCACTGTCTGCTTCCTTGACCTTGGACCCAGCAGCTCACATGAGTTGAAGGACTTCCATTATATTAACTGCTCCACAGAGTGAGTTGAACTGAGCCCTCTGTACTGCGGTGTGGACCAATTAGCTGTCATATTCCTTCTTGCTGTAGAAACCTGTCCATATGTATATGATTATATATATATGATCATAAGTGTCCTGGTTTTGTTTTCCTAGAGAACCCTGCCTAACACAAGGCACATTTCATGCATCAAGCTGTGGTTCAATGCCCAGAATCTGTACTGCTCAAAAAGGGAACAAGAAAACCCTCCTATCAAACATCCCTTTCTTTGGTCCAAGAACATGATTTCCCATCCAGTTGAAATTTGGGGGTGAAAAATTGCACATGTTGCCTTTTGGATTTTCAACAGAAGTTGTTGATGACCTGTGGTAACCTGCACCAAGATTTCCTGTCAGTCTCTGGAATCTTTTTATTTCTCAGGGTTTATTTATAAGGAGCAATGACTCAGTCCTATTTTTTTTCCACCCAATCGTTCAGGTCACTTCACTTAACAAGGATAGACAGAATGAAGGGGCAACAGACAGACCGTAACAGTTAACTCAAGGAGAGTTGTCAGATGCAAGGACCAAAAACAGGCACTGCCAGAGGATAAGCTGCCCTGCTTCCTGCCTCCGCAAAGATTACGGACACCATCTCCTGCAACACAGGACATGACAGAAGTCCCCAGCTTTCCTGATAGGAGAGGACCTCATGACCCACCTTGAAGATGACCAGGGCTCTGCGGGCAGGGGCCTGGGGGGAGCAGTTGAAAATCACAAGCTCCAAAGCTTCCGTGTGCATCCATATCGAACTGCTCTCGGCAGGCTCTGGGTGAGTCCAGGGAGTTTTCTGGGGAGGCAGAGCAGATGCAGACTCCACTCTTGGACCACAGTTCTCAAACTGGGGCAAAAGCACCAGGCTCTTCGGGAGTTAGGGCAGCCGAGAAGCCACAGGAAAAATGGCAGATGTGGGGAAATTATTTTTTATACGAGGTGTCAAATACAGACTGCATCACGTCTAAGGTTAAAGCAGACTATTTCATATAATAGGCCCCTTGCCTCTTTTCTAGATTTTAGGTCCACAGGAATTGAAAAGTTGAGAAATAAGAGAATCCACAAAATTCTACAGCCTTTAGGGCTACTGGGACAAAGACAAGGCTTTCTACTCTTGTAAAGAATTCTAGTCTCACAAACGCACAGGGGACGTTCTACCCTGACCTATAGGGTTGCTATGAGTTGGAATTGACTTGATGGCTGTGTGTGTGTGTGTGTGTGTGTGTGTGTGTGTGTGTGTGTCTTTCCCCCTTGAGTTTTAGGGCCATTGGCCAGGTGAGAAAGGGTGTTTTTATTTTTCCCATGTTGCACTTCCCGGAGCAGGGAAACTGAGCAATTTAACCTGGCTGTCTTTGGAGGAATGGACCTGCCACTCAGACCTGAGCCCCCCAAGTGTGCAGTGTGGATAGCAGGGATTGATGTACAACATGGTGAATGTGATCAATGACACTGAGCTATACGCATACAAATGGGTGAAACGGCAACATTTTGGGATTCCGCCCCCCACACACATATACAAACCAACAACAAAGTTGGGGGCCCAGTAGCCTCACTGGTAGAGAGCAGCGCCAATGAGGACTTCCGGTTGCCATCATGACGGTCTTTTGATAGGGTGGGTAGAAATTGAAAGATTGTTCCCCCTCCTTTAGAAGTCAGGAATGAACCAGTGTCTTTCCCCATCCAAACTATGCTAAAGGACTTGTAGCAAAGAAGACAAAGGACTATGAATCCCCGTCACAGCTGAAGGGAATGACACCGGCCAGACATGGTGCACTGCCAAAGCCGCTCATTTGCAAACAACAAGCCTGTCCTGCAACGTGCAGCAGAGGCAGATGTCCTGAGTGGCATCAGCATGGGAGGCTGGGGAGAGCCACTCACATCGCTGTATCTCAGAGTAAATAGGACAGCGGTGTCAAACTGTCTATGCTACGGCTCTCCTCACAGAACAATGCCAATGACTAGATACCATTTCATTTTACAATTATTTGCTGTAAGTTTATGAGAAGGGTCAGGTGTGTGTGTGTGTGTGTGTGTGTGTGTGTGTGTTAAATGTTGCATAGACATTATCATGGGCACGTTGCCCCGACTACGCAAGAAATATACAGAAAAGCAATGATTGCTGTACCGAAGTCATTATAATGACCTTCAAGAGTTATTTATATGTAATTGGTCCTTGAGTGGAACAAACATTTACAGTTCAGAAGATATTTCATAGTTCAAATGTCACATAATAAGTCCATGGCAAAATGAATTCTGCCACGTTAGCTACCAGAATAACCACCTCAGCTGCGCCCTTTTAGAACGACACACCAGCGCATGGAAAGAGGACACATTAGATGGCACTGCCATTGCCTTGAAGGAGCCCAGATAGCACAGTGGTTAAGCACCTGGATGCTGAACTGAAAGCCAGTGGTTTGAACCCACCAGCCACCCTGGGGGAAGGAGATGTGGGAGTCTGCTTCTATGAAGATTTACGCCTTGGAGACCCAATGGGGAAGTTCTGGTCTGTACTATAAGGTTGCTATGAGTTGACAGGAAGCTTTTGTTGTGGTACTTTCTTCAGTGGTTCTCAGATTGGTCCTCTGACCAGCAGTATCAATATCATCTGGAAATCCATTAAAAGTACAGATTTTAAAAAAATTATTAATTGGAATTTAATATATATATCATACACTTCCATTTCCAACCACGTCAAGTAGAATTGGGCAATTGTTACCACAACTAGTTTCCAAACAATCTTTTTCTACCTGGACTCCTTGACATTGTATCCCTTTTACCCCTCACCACCACTGTACTCCGGTCCCCCTAAGCCCCTTATTCTACCTGCTGTCCCTCTAGGTTCATTGATCCTGGGTGTCATACACCGATAAATGGAAGACATGTAACACAGCTTCCAGAGGGTGTATTTTTGGTTTGTATTGCTCGGGTTTTGTTTGTTCAGATTAGAGTGTATGTCAGAGGTGTTAAGGCACTATAGACTCAGATGGAATGGGGGTGGAGGGGGCGGGGAACACAGCACAATGATCTCTGTTTTAACAAGTTCTCCAAGTCGTTTTGATGCATGCTGGAGTTTGAGAACCACTGGGTACGAGTCTAGCACACACTTCCCCATTGTGCAGCTCTGCAAACCTTCAATTCAGAGAGGGCTGTCTCCTTGAACTGTAGCGGAGGGTTTAGCGCCCAGACTTATTTTTCTTTTCTGGTCAACTACACTATAGAGACGATGGAAAGTATACTGACTGGTGACTAGGATGTGTTAGCCAATCCAGTGGTCTAATAGACTACAGCGACCCATAAATGAAGACTTACCTAGTTTTTGGTAATTGGCACACAGCAGTGTTCAACCCTCTCTCGGCAGACGTTAAGCTTTTACTTCTTATTTATAAAATGTTTCAGAATCTCACAGGGCAGTGGGATGACTACAATGAATCATTCTGCTGGCAAGGTGTCAAATGCAATGAATAGAGGTGTCCGATTGACTGAAGGCTTAAGTCACTTCATACGGCATTTCTAAACCACAGACTCACATCATCTGTCACTCTTATACAGCCCTCTCCACTACCCCCCAGGGCATCCACTTTGTCTGAGGAATCAAGTCTACCTTCTTAGAGCCCATTAAGCCATCCATCATTTTTGCTGTAGGGATACTGGTTGCACCAGAATACATATTCATGCACACACTACTTTTCAAGAACCAGACACTTGGTCAGCATTCACTCTTGTCTGATTAATCCAATGATGAAAATATTAGGACCAGGAGTCTCAGGTATGAAGTTCCACACTGCTTCACTAAATGAAGTCTTGTTCCCTCCATAATCATAACCTTGTCTCATCCTTCCTTGTGGAGCATGCATTGAATGACACTGAGGTGTGCCTTAGGAATGTGTCTTATAAAATCAATGTAAAAGTGTGTAAAATAATAATTAAAATAATGTCAAATAGCCTTTGAGAAGGAAAACCATGGGAAAGAGTCATTCTCCCCCTCTCCAAATTAAATCATGTTTCTATCTGTCTTTGTCAAGCTCTTGTTTTACCCCACTACTTCACTGCTACCAACTGGACAACAGTTCAGGGTAGAACCTCAGCTCTAGCCCTGGCTATACCCAAACAGAGACACAACTTCTTGAGTCCCAATGGGGTAGGGTGAGTGGCCAACCAGCCAGGACTACAGTCATAACTAGGTCGTAGGCCCTTTGGAATTGCGGAGCAACGCTTGGGCTGATCTGCAGAGACTATAGCATAGCCACTTCTCAATTTCACCAAAGCCTGTCTAGTCATTTATGTCCCCCTTTAACAGCAATCGGTGACTCATTGGGAACCATGAGTGGGCAGAGAAAAACAAAGTTGGAGGCAATTTTGCTGGTCTCAAGAAAGGGGAAGAGGTGGGGAGGGGGAAAAATGAGGAGCTGATACTAAGGGCTCAAGTAGAAAGAAAATGTTTTGAAAATGATGATGGCAACAAATGTGCTTGACACAATGGATGCTTGTATGGATTGTGATAAGAGCTGTATGTCCCCCCAATAAAATGATTTTTTTTAAAGGGGAAGAAGAGGCGAGAAGAGGCTGAGGGAGTTGGGGGAAAATTTAACTTAACAGATTTCCTAGGGAGCTCTGGAGTGTTGAGGCATCCTGACCAGGCTTCTGTTTTGGGGTAACTCTGAGAACAGTAGTGTTCACCGTCTTCTACAAACAGATCAGAATTCTATTAAGCAGCCTTGTTTTGTTTGTCCTGGGGGCCATTACTAGGGTGGGTGGGGGATCTCTCTCTCCTACTGAAATTTCCTCAGGACATCAAGTGGCAATAAAGGAGCAGTGGTGACAGAGGAAACGTGGCATGATCTCTGGAGTTTGCTGGAAGTCTTCTCCCTGGTTTAACTGGCTTGTCAACGCTCAATGATGGTGCTAAAATCTTCCCTGTAGTTGACTTCATGCCTGTTCACAAGAAAAGGTCTCTTATTTTTAAAGAAGTCTTCTCCAGTATCATGGTCCTTTGAAAAGGGGGCTTGGACTAAATGGGATTGGCCATTGGTCCATCATTGACTGGACTCAATATCTCAACATTCAGAAAGTACTGGTTCTGAGCAGGGTTGGTTCAGGTTTGAAATGGTTTCATAATGATTAGTCCCATGGTTTGATCATTTCTGTTTCAGGTTATGTTGAATCACTGTTGTTTCTTCCAGCTGAGGTTCAAATTTGAGGCAAGGCTCTTGCTTGAAAGCTCCTCTGTTCCACTCCGATGATTTCAAGCAAGAATCCATTAATCCAGATACAGACCCCCTGCTGTGCACAAGCAGAGCATTCCTAGGAAACTGCTCTGTAAGCTGAAATGGTGCAAAGTTAAAAAACAGTTGTCTTTAAGTTACTCAGCGAGTTAGTTAATTGTGCCAGCCTGGCCGATAATCACATGTAGGGCTAATTGAAAGGCGGAGGGATAAATGGGTGGTGAAGCCTCGCCTTTCTAGTTCTCGGGTCTCTTGTTTTGTGATGGTTGCACCGGGGTGCAGCTGCCTTAGCAGTTCCTTGCTTCAGCTTGCAAGATTGACTTCCTCCAAGACATCCCCAAGGAGAAGCCGCATGGACCTATCCCGATGCAGCCCTGGGTGCTGGAGCAGCCGTGTGGAGACCCCTGCTAGTGCTGAGATGCTTGTTCATTCACTGCCTCAGCTTTCCTCCTGCAGTCGGCATCATTGCCTCTGTTTTGTGAGGTGGAGGACTTTGTGGACTGGTGTTGGGTTAATGGGTTAATGTTGGACTTGTGGGCTTGGGCAGCATTGGGTTGGGATGTTTTCGTGATGCACATTTTCTTTACATAAAACTCTCTCTTATACGTGAGTTGCTGTGGATTTGTTTCTCCAAAGTACCCAGACTAATACACTCGGGAAATGAGCATTCCCAGACCCAAACATGATCTACCAAATCACACCCAATCACACCCAAACCCTGAAAAAAGCAGTGCTCACTGACCCAGTTCAAAGCTTCGGCAGCTTGGTACTGAGATGCGGAGGAAGGCGCTGGGTGACACCGGTCCCGCTGCTTGGGCTCTGAGCTGCCGCTTTGAAGGCTCACTGCCAAAGAAACACTGGTTTTGCTTTTAGCCTTTTGCGTGAAAGTGAAAATTCTCTGTGGATTTCTTTCAGTTGGTGACAATGGGCACAAATGTAAGTCTCTCACAGAAGTGAAATGGTGTAAGGTGAATTTTTAAAAAGTGGTTTCCTCCATCTTCCGGAAGCAGATTTACAAGTCAGCTTGGATTCGGGTTCTAATTATTCTAGAACAAGTGTTTTCCTTGTTCTGTGAAGTGCCAAACAGTACATGTTCCAGGCGCTGCAGGATAGACAGGTTCTGTCACGATTCCCAACTGCCACAGGAGTTCGAAAGCATCCCGTGGCATCAACAGTATGTGACCAAGTGGCTTCCAAGACAATACATTTCATTGACAAATATTGGCTGCGGGCCATATTGGCCACCCAGATCCTTATTCTAAGACCCAGTGTGGATCAGTGATCCTGCTAAGAATTTCCCTTTCTGGTGTCATTTCAGTTTTGTTGCTCAGTTTTCCGTGGAGATGAAGAAGATGTGGTCTCGGCATCTTTGAAAGCTCAGCCTCTCCATGGACTTGATGTGTGGGACTAGGGCACTAGAATGCATGTGTACCCCACTTCAGAAGATACTCTGGAGAAAGGGGCACATCCCCAGGCATCGAAGGAGAATCAAAACCCAGAGGAAAACACATCTTTAAATCTTAGAATGGGAAGAATTTCAAAATCAACTACATTGTCTCCTCACTTTAAAGAAACTAAGTCTTTCTTTTTTTTTGCTTTTAATTTTTAATTTTTATTTTTTTAAATCATTCTGTTTGGGGCTCGTACAACTTTTATCACAATCCATCCATCCA